CACCATATAACAGCCTGCAGGTCCCGATATACGTTCGTACCCGCCACTTTGAAGTCGTCCGCAAACATAAAGCACGGGTTGTTGATTTCCCGTGGTAGGTCGTTGACGAACATCAGGAATAGCAGTGGGCCTAGCACAGAACCCTGGGGTACACCGCTAGTCATGTTGGCCGGCATCGATAATTGCATACCAACCTTGACCTGGAAGGTGCGGTTAGTTATAAAGCAGTAGACCTACTTTCTCACTTTCCCCCCTATTCCCAATAGTTGCATTTTCTGGTCTAAACCCTGATGATTTACCGAGTCAAAGGCTTTGCTAAAGTCTAGGTTACCGACCTCGACATGCTGTCCCTCGTCTAAGCGTCGTGTGACCTCATCGAGGAAAGCAAGCAGATTCGATAGACAAGACTTCCTCTTAATAAAGCCATGTTGATTTGGTGTTAGTAGCTCATGCCCTACGAGGTACGCAGCCATATGCTTGCGTACAATCCTTTCTAGGCATTTGCATGGGACCGACGTCAGACTTACTGGTCTGTAGTTTTCGGCCTTTTGCTTTGACACAGATTTATGCAGAGCAACTACCGTCGCTCTTTTCCAATCTCCCGGTATCTCGCCTTTATCTAGAGATGCCTCAAACAACTTTGACATAGGCCCTTGGAGCATCTCCGCTAGAGGTTTAACAAAAGCTGGATGGATGCCATCCGGTCCCGCTCCCTTAAACTTATTCAGGGTAGCTAACTCGCACTAGGATAATCTGCCATAACCAATGGTGATAGCTGTCTGTACACCCCCTTAAAGAAAGCCATAAGGATATTTGCTTTGTCTTCCCCACTTAGGTCAAGACGTCCATCAGTGCTTTCTAACATTCAAATCCCTTCTTTTGATGCCTTTTGGGATTGGACGTAAGCATAGAACCACTTTGGGTTCTGTTTTGCTTTTATCGCAATCCCATGTTCATAGTCGTACCTGGCCATTCGCTGCATCGCCTGCGCATGGTTTCTTGCTGCCTTGTAGCTAGACGGTAGTGGCTTGGCATCCCAACTATTGGAATTTCAAAAACGATAGATTTTTAATTGTATTATAGAAAAAGCGATGTCGAATTTAGCCGAAATGGAACATATTTTGCTTTTAGCTGATTCTGAGTGATTTGTTACAATTTAATTTGTTTTAATTAACCTTGATTGACTTTGTCCGGAAAGTATAACTACCGCAACCCAATGGCGACGATCACTTCCGCGCTCATATCAGCCATGGCTCATGTCGACGATACGGTCGTTTTGAAAGTTATGTGGATGCTGTGTGGAATTCCTAAAGATTTGTTATGGGCTAAATGTCCCTCACGAGAACTCGTGCACTTATAATAACGAATAACAATTATTTTTAAGGTAATTATATTTCCCTTTAATTATTTTGGTTTTTGGCTGTCTTACTGATATCCGCGTTATATTTAGTATCTGTAATCAGCGAAATACTTTTGGAGCGACAATGGTCCCCAGTTGGGACTTTTTCCTTGGCTTGGAGAATGGGGATCGATCGAATGACCTTGAAATTTTTGAATCAAGCCGCGTTTGGATGCTGCGCGCTCACCCACTACATCAGGTAGGTCATTAATATAAATGAGGAAGGGAGTGGGTCCTAGAACAGAACCTTAGGAACCCCGGTCGTAACTGGGCTGGGCTGTGATGAGGATTTGCCAACACCAACATCAAATGAGCGATTTGAGAGGAAACTTCGAATAAGAGTAAGCAAGGGGTCTACAATGCCAAGTGCCGCAAGTTTGTGGAAAAGGGGGATGTTTGGAACCTTGTCAAAAGCCTTCGCGAAGTCAATGAAAACGGCATGGGAGATGTTGCCGGAATCGTATGCCTTAGTCAGGCTATCCATGACAGTCAGCATATTGGTGATGCATGACCTGCCGGAAACGAGATAGGTGGTTATTGGTCCTAAGATGCTTCAAGATTTAGTCTTTTATTAGTCGCTCGAAAATTTTGCTGGAGATGCTGGTTGGGGAGATGGGACGGTAGCTAAAAGGAAAGTGCCTACCGCAATTTTTGTATATGGGACAAATAACTTGTGGGAAAGATTCTCTCGTCCATACTGCGTTGGAAGAGGCGAGTATTCATATATCTCGCAAAAAGCTTGGCCTTTGTATCCAACAACCGGCGAATTGGGCGAGGGAGAGGGGGTTTGGCATTAGACGTGATTCGAATTCCTGGGAAAAAATTGCGAGTCTGCAAGAGAGATCACCTGCTCTATGTGCCTGTTGAGGCCATCAACAAACAATTCAGAAGAAGGGCAGATGTATAATTGCAGAAACCGGTTTACACTCTCGAAGTTTGTTCTTTTGAAGGAACGAACGTATCGAGTGTTATTGCTTAACAGTGTCCAGGTTACTATATAAATTCAAAAGTTAGGGAGACATGATCACGTCTATCAAGAGGGGGGAGCTGGTTAATGACATCAACCTGGCATCTTTCGTTGGTGATGACTAGGTCTAGTAAAGATGGTGTTTGTCCTTGTCGGAACCTGGTTGGAAAAGACACATGTTGCATCCAGGATTTCTCGACAAGAAGGTCGGTAAGAGAGCGACCGAGGGAGACGTTTGTCAAGAACGTCTTTTGCCAGTCGATGCCTGGGCAGTTGAAATCACCTACTACGAGAAGGTGAGAATGATGGCGGGTTTCCGTGACAGACCTGAACTGGTCTACCAGGAGCTGGTTTTCTACCAGACTGGATTGTGGTGGGCGGTAGACTAAGCATATCAGGAAGTTGATCGCCTTGGAGATCTGAAAACAAATCCACAGACTATCTATGAGAGGAATAGGATCTGTGTTTATGAAGATTGGAGGAGGGAGATGGTTCTTAAAATAAATTATAACTCCACCTGCTCTTCCTCGGGTGGAGTCTTTTCTAATCAGGGAATAGCCTGGTACGGTTACTTCGCCATCGGCAAAGTCCGCCGTGAGCCAGGTTTCTGTCAGAAGTAAAAAGTCTAGGTTATTGTCTAGTGCAAGCTGCCTTAATTCTAGAATCTTATTGGGGAGGCTGAGGCAGTTGCAATAAAAGCATTTAAAAATTCGCTCATCATGAGGCGAAGGGAGGGGAGAAGGTGTTGAAGGGCGTTGATGGGTTGGGTTGTTGGGGACATAAGGGGAGGAACCCTGGGTGCTGTCTGTCGGGGTTTCTGTTGGATACCTGCGTGCAGGAAGGGCGTGGGTTTCCCGAAAGGGCGAACTTGGTTTGGCCACCTTTCTGGAGGACGACCCACCGGAGCCCCCATCCGAAAAGTTAATTTCGTGTTGGGGGAGGATACGGAAGTTGGGAGGAAGGGAAGAGCTTTAGAAAATTTGGTAGGCTTCGGGAGGGTTGGAGGGACAGTCTTGAGTTTCTGTGCGGTGTTAACAGGCATCTGGGGCGATTTTTTCCCTGTAACTGTGTTACTTTCTAGGTCGAGGGGATCACCCAGTAGGCCTTTTTTACTCCAGGGGGCCTTGATCGCTCTGGATCGGGTTTGCGCTATCCGGACTGTGGTCCTGGGGACCGTCAGCACCGACGTCTTTTCTCTGTGGCTGACCTCTGAGAGTGCAGAGCATAAGCTTGTGTTCGCCGAGCTGCGTGCTACTGGCTTGAGGCAGACCACTGTCTCGTTTAGTGGGAAAACATGGGGTGAGATGGGCTGTGAATGGGTCACATCAGTTTCCAGACGTATGACCGGTACGAAGGCGCTTCGGAGAAGCTTGGGGTCTGTCGATGGGTAGGAGGGGCGTTCTGTTTCGGAACAGGGAGCCCAAGGTGAACAGGTTTATCAACTGACACCCCTCTAAGACCCTTGCAGGATCGTTTCAGGAAAAGAGCGAATGTGATGAGCTAACGGGCTGTAGAAGCGGAGCCCATATCTACTACGAGGCCATGGGGAGTTTTTTCTTTTCTTTGGAATAAGCCGTGAGCATTTTCGGGGCTTGAAAACTGTCATATCCAGAAGTTTAAAGATTAACTTCGTCATTTCTTGAGCTGTTAAAGAGCTCGGGAAATTTCCTCAGAAGATAACCCTTTTCGAAGCAAGCGCGTCTGCCTGTAACAGTCTTTCTGTATCTAGTATTTGCTGCGCGGAGACTTTGATCGCTTGGTTTGCCGTTAAGTGAACTGGGGAGTTCAACATAAGGGCGTTGAGTTTGGCGACCTGGTCACCGAGAGCGTTAACTTCAGCCTTCAACCTCCCTAGTTCTAAGGCCTGTTCCTGAATGATGCCTAGCATTTCAGCCTATGAAAGTGTTTTATCCATGACCATCACAGGTTCTTCTAACCTCATCGGGAGAATGTTCTCGTCGGAGGATCCGAGAGAGGTTTTGTCAGCCATCGAATGGCTGGAAGGTATGTTAAAAGGATTTTTGCGAGTTGGAGGGAAATAATTGGAGCTGAGCAAGTGTAAAACTTGTGAGAATACAAAAACCGATAGCGAGATTAATTTTTGAACGTACCGCGTTAGTATCTTAACAGAAATCAGGTGCTGGAGCTAGTTGCGGGGTTTAACCGCGCATCAGTGGTTACGGACTGCATAGCACAATCACAGAAAATACAGTCTAATGACAAACTATTAAGGGGTGTATCAACAGACAAACCCATTCATACAAGGTTGTCACCAAATCCCCCTAAGAGGTGGCAGAAAGATAATAAGCTCTTACAGAAGGCTGTGGTCAACCTCATCCACCTTCCTATCCCTGCTGACTATCTGACCTCACACAGGCCCTTTTGGAAATATCATCTGGCCCCCTAGCCTGTAGCTCTCCGAACACAAGCTTTTGCAGTGAGAAGGATGATGAGCCTACTATCACTGCTGACGGTAGCTTCCTTGAAACGCCTTCCTAACTGAATAGTAAGCAAACAAAACCTGTTTGCATCAACAAAAGTCAAACGCACTAAAGGTTCGTACGCAGGAAATGCCTCAAACAGGAAAAATTGCAACCCGTGAAAAGGGGAATTCTAGGGAGTCCAACCCTTCCTATGCATCGAGTAGCTTCCTCTAAGCGAGCAAATCTCTCTAAACAACGTCCCTTCTTCCTCACTCACCCTAAAGAATCTACAACTGTCCCACAAAAACCAAAGCCGCTGGTTCCGAAAGTCACCCCACTGATGTCCCTGAAACTGGCGAACCACCGGAAAACGGTCGCTTTCCCTTTTCCCAGAGCGGGCAAGGTTCTCCGACCCCCAGACCAGTTAGCATTCCAGCCTCCTCGCGGGAAAAGGTACAGTAGGCAAAACCCCAAGGAACTCCCCGTACTCGGACCGCAGGACGTCCAAACGGGTGCAGAAGCCCAAACCCCAAATCGCGAGCAAGGGGAAGGAGCCGTTTCAAAACATAACTCCAGTGGGTACCCAGGTTCAGGACACCCCTCTTATCCTAAGCATCTTGAAATTTCTGGTGAACAAGTGCTAAAGTGCATGTACACCAACTGCCTGAGCCTTGGCAACAAGGTACTTGAACTCAGACAAAAGATTAAAGATGTCCAGCCACATATCTTGGCGCTAACGGAAACATGGCTATCTCCGGATATCTTGGACGCGGAAGTCAAAATAGATGACTATACACTTTTAATGAGCGAATCAAACCGAGGTCGCGCCGGTGGTGCAGCTATCTACTTGAGTCAGTCCCTTCCTCCAGTTGTCATAGTCCCCCAAGATCCCATCCCCATGATTGACACTCTGTGGGCAAACCTATCTCTCTCCAACAGAGATTCCGTGTTACTAGATGTCATCTATCGCTCCCCAACCAGCGACCAAACACAGGCACAGGCCCTTCTAAACCAACTTCGCTATCTTTGATTCTATTGCCCCTCTACACACGTCTTCTTAACCCGTGATTTTAACGCTCCATCCATAGACTCGGTTCGGACTAACTCCAATGATCTCTTCTTTGGTCAACCCCTTCTAGATCTTGTTGCTGAGGGTTTATGGCATCAACATGTATGCTCACCCACCAGATTTCGCCCGGGCCAGTCACCTTCCCTACTGGATTCGGTGATAACAAACGATCGGCACCAAATCGACGAGGTCTACACTCTCTGTCCGCTTG